GACGAGGGGAGGGGAGGAAAAGGGAGGGAGGAGAGGGTAAGGGAGCTTGGGTAGGGAAAGGGAGGGAGGGGCTCCGGCCGCGCATGCTCAGTGGCCCCTGCAATGCGGCGCCCGCGCCCGCGTCCTGCGTTAACCCAGTTCCACCAAGTCTCGCCGCCTGTGGGTCAGGGGGCCCGGCGGACCAGGAAAGGCTAAGGCAGGAAAGCCACGTTCAGCTACAAGCAGCCCTCACAGGTCGGAGTTTCAGCAGAGGGCGGGGCAGGGCGCCAGGGTTTCTGGGGGGGGGGGGGGGGGGGCGGGGCTCAGCTCTTCCCCCATCACACCTTCCCGCAGGGGTGCCCCCAAGGCACAGAGGCCACACGGACCCTAGGGAGAAGGTAGTCCCAGGGGACCCAGGCAGGGAGCTGGGGGTGAGCGGGGCATCAGCTTGGGGATGGGAGGCCCAGAAGTGAGCCCTGATCACCTCGGTCCCCTCACCTGTGAGGTCAGCCCCCGCCATGAGGTGAACCCCACCTGTGAGTCCCACCTGTTAGCTCCTCCCCTGAAGTCGGCCCCATCTGTGACGCCAGCCCCCACCTGTGAGGTCGGCCCCACCTGTGAGGTCAACCATCAGCCCTCCCAGCTGGGTGAAATCTGAAGCTGCCAGTGCCCCAGGCTCTGCTCATCACAACTGTGTGTTACTGAGCAAGTCTCTGCTTCTATGGGACTTGGTTTCCTCATCTGTGGAACGGGGTGCCCACCCCCGACCTCAGGGGATGTGGAAGGTCACTGCCGAGCCATGTGAAGACTCACTACTGCTGAAGGTCAGGGAGTAACAGCTGCCTGGGCCCCAGTCCTTGCAGGGTCGTTCCTCCCCCACATGGAGCCCCTGCCCGGGGTCACTGCTGGACACCTGCTCCAGGGGGGCTCAGGCCCACGTGGTGCTGGCAGTGAGTTGGGGGGAGGGCCCACAAGACAGGTTTTGAGGCTTGTGTGCCCCATGATCTCACCCCAGCCAATTCACTTCCCTCTAACTGCTTTTGTTAACCGTCCTGTAACTGTGGGCTTAGCGCGTTCAGACCCTCCAAAATCACGTACGTAACTTGGGTCTTTGGCACCAGCTGGGTGTCATGCCCAGCGACCCGGCAAATCTGGGCATTGTCAGTTCCCGCACAGGGGCCGCTTCTGTGCCCAGGGCCTGCGCTCCTCCTGGCCGCTGCGTGTGGCCGGCTGCTTTGCTATCATCAGGAGCCTCGGAGGACCAGGGCTGCTCCAGCGGGAGATGGAGCCCCCCCACACTGCACTGCACTCGAGCAACAGCGGAAGGAAGGTGGGGGGCGAGGCCTCTGGGTCCAGTCTCTCCCCCCTTCCTCTCCGCCATGGGCCCCCCGCCCTGTCCCTTCCTCCCACAAGGACAACAGCTGGGCACACATTTCTGCTGTGGTCTTCCTAGCAATGGAGCTGGCCACCTAGCAGGGTGGGGGCCCTGGCTCAGGACATTTTCTGTGACCTTGTGACCCTGGGGGGCACAACCACAGAGTGACAGCCAGGCCTTGCCCTGCCCCCACCTCCCGACCACCCTTGGGTTTGCCTCAGAAACACACTGCAACTCGGACGTCCCAAAGGCTCAGGTGTTCTGCAAGTCTGGACTGACCAGGGGCCTCCCGTGCAGACCCAACACGTCAGCAAATGCCCTAGACAACCCCCACCCCAGTCCCCACCCAGCCTCACACCCAGGGGACTACCTGCCCCCAGCATAGACTGTACATGTGCCTCTTCAAATTCGCCTACCGAAAGCACATGTTCCTTCCACCAGAAGCCTTTCTGGAGTGCTCACCACCCGCCAGGCCTGGTAGGGACACAGTACTGAACGAAGTCCCTGCCCACAGGGCCTGGAAGTCTTGTGGGAAAGACAGCTGTAGCATAAAAAGCAGGGTACCTGGGTCCCGGACTCCACTGGAGAAAATGTCATCAACAAGAGTTAAGCAGATAGAAGTTCAGGAAAAGCATTTCCAGAGAGAACACACATGCAAAGACCCAGGGGTGCCTGGAAACACTGAAAGCAGCCAAGGGCTGGAAGAAAGCTCTGGGGAGGGAGGGAGAAGACAGGGCCAGACGGCAGTGTCAGGCCAGGTGAGAACTTCAGGCTTTCTGGAAGCTGGCCCCAGGAGCTTCACGGAGGCAGCAGAGAGGTGCAGGGAATAAACCAGCCACAAGTGCCCTCCAGGAGTGGGGAAATGCCCACAGGCTTGGGGGTTTCCAGGGCAGCTTTGTGGGGCCCTGAGGCCTGCAGGCTGGGTGGGCAGACCTCTGACCCGGAGCGGGGCTAGGCAGAGAGGGGAGGCCTGTGCCCACAAGCTCCTTCCAAGTACCTTACATCCAGCCAGGAGCAAGCACACACCGGTTTCATCCCTGTTTTATGGCTGGGGAAACTGAGGTATAGGGTGGGCATGTGCTTCCAAGCCCAAGCCCATCACTGCCCCACACAGGGCGCAGACCCTGTCCCCTCACCCCTCCCACTGCCCCTCAGCTAGGAAAGCCAGGAGGGGCTGGGGAGGATCCGAGGGTGCCTAGACCCTGGTACCCGGGAGACAGCCACTTGTCTGCAGACTCCTTTTGTGCCAGAAGAATGTGCTGAACACCATGTGCAAAGTGACAGGCCGTCTGGGACGTGCTGTGAGGTGGGGGTGTGGGGCTACAGATGGAGCTGAGAGCTGACAAATGCTGAAGTTGGGGGATCGATCTGTCACTTTCTCTAGATTTGGGGAACGTTTGAAATTTTCCGTAATAAAGAGTTAAACAGGAAAAAAAATTGACCAAGACCTCCATGGTACCAGGCGACACAGACTAACAAGGCCCCCCTTCCTGCCGGAGAGTGGTTGTGAGGGAAGACAGGACAGGTGAAGGCCAGCCGCTCCGATTCCCGACGGCCCTGTCTCCCGCTGCCCGTCCCCAGCAGCGCCCAGCGAGGACACCGGCCCAGCGCAGGGCACGGACGCACCGGACATAGAGGCAGAAAAGCAGCTGTCGGTCAGGAAGGGGCCAGCAGGCTCGCTGCAGCAGGGGCAGAAGAATGAGCAGTGGTGCTTGCCCAACACATACTGGATTTCAGGGTTCTGCCGGTCCTGACCCTCTCTGCGTGTAGAGCACTTTGCAGGTATAAACCGCGGTGGGGTGCTTGGGGAGCTCAGTAGGTAAGTGTAGACCAGCTCAGGTCATGATTTCCTGGCTCGTAAGTTCAAGCCCCACATCGGGCTCTGTGATGACAGCTCAGAGCCTGGAGCCTGCTTCGAGTTCTGTGTCTCCCTCTCTGTCTGCCCCTCCTCACTCATGCATGCGCTCTTTTGCTCTCTCAAAAATAAAATACAACATTAAAAAATAAACACACAAACCAGGGAGTGTGAAGGTACTTTAGAGGAGCTGTGTGATTCCATAGAAATATACCCACGTGCTTTCCTGCTTGAGCCTCACAAACTCCTATTCACCCCTCAAGACCCTCCCCTGTGCCTGCACCCAACACAGGCAGTTGTAGTGGCTTCTGTGGATGTGTCTGCTCAGGGCCAGGCACGTGGAAGGGGCTGAGTAAACCTGATGGATGAGTGAGGGTCTCCCTCACTAGTCTGGGGGACATCTGAGGGTGGGCTCTCTCCTCCCATTGTGAGCTAGAACAAGCCTGTGTTCCGCCTTAGAGACTCCACACGTGCAGACATATCCCCCAAAACATAGTTAAAGCCGGCACCCCACCAGCACCCCCACCCAGCGTCGGGGAACACAGTAGTAACCGCGTTCAGGAGGCACTCGCAGTGCTGTCTTTAGCATTACCATTACCGCCATGGTCCAAACATGGGGGCTGAGCTGTGCAAGCACGCACGCCCCAGGGCTGCCCTGGCCCCCAGGCCTCATGGAGTCACCCCCTCCGGGCCCCCTCGCCACAGCCAGGCCCACGGGAGGCAGTCCCCCAAGCAGCTCCCCAAGGGGCCTCACCATCAAGGGATGGTCGGGACCTTTAGTTTCTGGATCTGCCCAGAGCTTCCCCACGCGGTGCTCAGACCCCAAAACAGGCAGCAAACACGGAGGACGTGGGACTGACCCCGGCTGGGTGCCCCAGGCCCCTCACCATGAGCGGGGACAGGAGTGCCCGCCCCTGGAAACTCTCGGGCCCGAAGGCCTGGTACACAGCACAGCAAGTACACAACGTCTACACGCAGCTCAAAATATGGCACTAGGTCACCCGCTCGCCCCACTGGACTGTCCACCGCAGAGCCCACGGACTGAGGCAGCTCTCAGCCCCAGTTCCAGTAGGGACTCAGGCCAGCACTGAGTACACTCAGTGCCCCTCTGGTCAGAGAAGGAGCCTGTGTCTGGACACTAACTGGAGGTCCCCTGGGAGGCCAGAGAGCACCCCAGGGGCCTCACTTGACTCTCTCTCCACCCAGGTGTCACCCGGCCTCCATCTGTCTGGCCCTGGGGTCAGAGGACCCAGGGAACCCCCATGCTGCCACCTCAACAAAGGTCCTTCGGGGGTCCTGCCCAGATCCCAGCCCCTTGCTCCCTTTGGGGCTATCTTTGAGTCACCTGCCCGTGTGCTACTCCATGACTTGGACCTCAAAAGAGCAGGATTCTGTGTGCCCACAACGGGCCGCCACCCAGCAAGGGCTTGGGGTGTGCAGCGTGGGTGGGATGAGGCCACGTGCCCGGGGCCAGCTGCAACCCAGCACCACTCCCCGCTGCAGGCCCAGAGCACAGCCCTGCCCAGTGCAGGCGGACAGCCCCCTAGTGCAGACGACCTGGAGGGATCGTGCTGGCAGCCGGGTCACTACAAGTCTTCAGGCCACCGAGGGCTCCCACCTCCAGCCCTCCCTGAGCCCCCAGACCAGGGTCAAGGTGGGATCCGGCGTGAGGGTACGGGTCCCTCTCTCTGCCCTCCCGGGCGGGAGGCACCACTTCATCCGGCTGAGTTCTGTGCCTGCGTGGGCCCGGCCCATGCCAGTACAGCCCACGCCTACACGGCCCACGCCTACCTCTGGCTGACAGCTTCTTGGTGTTGATGATCTTTGCTGCGTACTCATGACCAGTGCAGAGCTTGACACAGCGCCGGACCACAGAGAAAGCCCCCCTGCAGAGAAAACGGGGGACACAGGCAGGAGAGATGATTAATCTCCCTATGAGCACCCTGCACCCAAACCACAAAGCCCTGCCTGGGCAGACGTCCATTTGAGGAAGAGACACCAAATGGGTCTGCCCTCTTTCCTTGGCGCCAACCTGACAGGGACCCTTTCCCTGGCCTGGGGGACACCCCAGTGTCCTTCAGGGTCAGCTGGGCTGAGGGCCTGCCTGGGGCCTCCTAGCATGCGCCCTCAGGCCCTTGGCACCAGACCGGGGGGCCCAGTGAGTCCTCCCCAGAGCAACCAACTGGCCCCACTCCAGGCAGTACAGCCGGCACGGGACTCATCGAAGGTTTCAGAGAGAGGGAGGAGCATCGTGTCACTGAGCCGCACGGCCAGAGGACAGGGCCCCTCCCTGGTCCTCCACCTCCACGAGGCCTGTTACACAGAGCAGGAGGGGGCCCAGCGTGAGGGCTGAGAGCCAGAAACCTGAGAGAGCCGGTTACCACTGCGATGCCATCTTGAGAGGCCTGAGGACCAGCCACAGACACTGCCCCTGAGAGGAGGCGGGTCTGCCAGAGAGCAGACAGCCAGCCTGGGTCCCGTTAGAAGATCCAGTTTTTAAGAACGCTAGACCAGGCCCATGAGCCGGGGCCAAGGAGCCAGAACAGGAAACGACCCGGGCGGTGTCTCAGGCCAGGTGGGTGGCCACTGGGGACGGGCGGGCACACCCCTCCGCTGTCCTCCCCATGAGGCCCGTCAGGCATGGGACCCCCAGGCCTATGCAGCCAGATAAATCCACGGCCACCAAGCCCCCGGTTCTGGGTGATGCCAAGGCAGTGTCTTAACGAGAGAACGCTCTTGCTACACAACAGTCCCCGCATCTATGGCTTCCTTCAGGCAGCTGCAGTTACCCACGGTGGGCCAGAGGCAAATACTCCTCCCAACACATGGTCAGGTCAGCAGCCGCCTCATGCTGTGTCACAGGCCTGTGACAGTCACCTCCGTCACCGCCTCACCGGGCTTTTCACCCCATTGGGCCGGCGCGGAAAGGGCGCGTGTGGTGTCCACACGGCTTTCTCACAACGTGTTGTCACACCAGCCTCCCTTCACCATCCTTGCTGTGTTCCTCCCCGAAGCTGACTCAGAAGTGCAGCGAAATCACAGACGTGCGCTCGGGACAGACACTGTGTCCACAGGGCTCAGAACTACACAGGATTTCAGGCGTCCTCTGGGAGTCTCGCAACCTACCCCCGCTGACGAGGGAGGACTTCTGTGACCCTTCTTAAGACAAAACTTCCTTAGAACGTACTACTGGTTTCCTCGGAAAAAACTAAATAGTAGGACACGAACCCTAACCGAACGTTTTCTTCACCACCCAGACTGTCATAAGCAATGGTGGCACTTAGGGCCACGTGTCTGCTTTTTCAATGTCCGCCCAAGAACTGGGCAGTGGCTGCCCTGGGGGGCAGGCAGGTTGGGGGACACGCACTATTCACCCCACACTCTCTGCCCCTGTGATTTTCCTCGCTACATAAGAAAAAATATAAGGAAAGGATGATTATTTTGACCCACAAAGAAGAATAACCGCCAACTTCCTGCCGCCCTAGCTTCGAATTCTACTCTGGGCTTCCTGGCCACACCGCATCACCCTCTCTGAGCCTCAGTTTCCCCATCCACGTAAGGAGTGAGAAAAACTCCCGGGGCTGCCTGAGGGGTGAGAGAGGCATTGTGTGGCCACCTGCCTGAGACTGCACTGGGCTGGTGCTCACCAGCCTCGCCCCCTGCTGGCGCCTGCACCAGCCTCCTGCTCGGAGCGATAGCATGACGTCTGTGCACCTGGGCTGCCATCGGCTTGCCCGGACAGGGGCTATGCATGCCTCTGTGGACAGTCAGAATTTTCTGTGCCAGAATGGGACCTCACAGCGCAGGTCTACCCCCAGCCGGAAGTTGCCAACAGCCAGATGGCACGTTTATGGCAAGCCTGTGGCAGGACGGGCGCCCAGGGAGGCCCCCAAGGACAGAGGAGGGCTCATCCTGGGAGCAGGGCCGGACCCATCAGGCCCTTCCCCCAAATGCTGCCCAGACAGGGTAAGCACGGGAATGAACAACAGGGGACCAGCAATCCTCCTGGCATTTGGCAGAGTGTGCATGAACAAAAGGACACAGAGCCAGTGCCCAGGGCTCTGGACAGTCAGCTATGCAGACCTGCCCGAGACTGCCCTCCACCCCACGTCCTGGGGGCCTGCGTCCCTCCCATGCCAGACGGTGCTTTTCCTTCCCAGAAGCTCTACACCTGGGACAGTGAGGGCCTGTTGTGAGGCCAAGGGCAGGTGGGCAGTGGACAGACACCGGACATGGAGGAAATGAAGAGGACAGCAGACATAGTGCTTGCAGCAGGCACTCAATAATCGAGCTCACGGGGAGCTCATTAGACACAGGCCTTTTCATCCTGATGTCCTGCCTGCCAGGTGTGAGGAGGGCACCTCCTGAAGCCCCTCTGCGGGGGTCCTGTTGCCCAGACTAGAGGAAAGTTCTAGAAAGAGCTGCCCCCATCCCTCTCTGCCATTGGTCATCTGCACCCCAATGCCCATCAAAATCCACTGCAGGACGAGTGGCTGAGCCTGGGGCTTGGGTCTCCAAAGGTAGATGCCGTGGAAATTGACGGGAGAGGCCAGCCAGGTGCTCACGGCAGTCCCCAGGCACGGAGGGAGAAGCTGGCAAAAGCAGGGCGCGCCCAGGGGGCTGGTGTGGCCGCAGATGACCACCGCTCCTCGGGCTTCTGGTTATTGTGGACCTCCAACCTCTCCACCTCACGCTAAGCATTGGCCCCTTCACCCTCAGCTGTCCCTGCAGAACCGCCTGAAACCGCTCCTCCCACATGAGCCACCTTCCCTCCCTGCCCCTCTGCCTCCCCTGTCCCCAGCGGCTCTGCCAGTGGGTCCCAGGTGTTGAGCTGTCGCCAGGAGTCCCCCAGAACCGCCAGTACGGAGAAGCATGTAGCATGTGCCGTTTGGGCCACCTGCTGTGGGCCCCAACATCCAGCTGAGGCCCGCAGCCTCCTCCCTGGGGACTCGTAGCAACATCCCACCAGAAGAGATGGCGCTGACAAAGGTAGGGTTCGTGTGCGCTGAGCTCCCAGGATGGCCCCGCGGTAACCCGGATTTTTTGTGAGCCTTGGAACCAGCAAGGACGCTAAGCACGTTTCCTTTTCTAATTAGCCTCGCGTGATTTTCAAAAGCCCCATAACAGGGCTTGCTGCCCTGGGCCTCATGATCTGAACGCTTTATTCCACTCACTTTAAAAAGTGAGTTCAACAGCAGCCGCCAGGCCTGTTATGCGGCAACCTGGAGGTTCAGAGCCAGTCCCCCACCAGGCCCTCCTCACAGGCCCCACCCTCCTGGCTTCTCCCCACAAGCGGCACTGGCAGCAGCCTGCCACGGGGGTCCCGGGGCCACTGGACGGGCAGCACGGGGCGGACCTCACCTGGATGCGGTGCAGGACCCGCGGCCCCAGGACCGCCAGGTCTGTGCCTCTTCGGGATTAAAAGGCACGTCCCGTCCTGTGCTGTACGGACGGGTTGCGGTGGGAGGTCTGCCGGGCCCCTCACGGTTTGATCAGGGGCCCCACGGCCTCAGCCCCTCAGAAGACGCCCCCCATCCCTCCCCGGATGCCCCCGGCCCGGTCTCTCCCTGTCGTTCTGGGGGTCGCCCCTTCCGCTCCATCCGCACAGCCAAGCGC